GCTCAAACAGTTGGACCACAACCTTAAACCAATAATAGCTCAGCTAACAGTTTAACTCCATTAGTCAAAGGCAGCTCTAAACTAATGGGTTTTTAACTCCGACTTCAAAGAACTCAGGCTTTCAGCTCTTTTCCAGTCTTCTGGCCGTTTTTTCCAGATCAGTGGAGCATAGATGCTGCTTCTCCATGTTTGGTTCTAGTTCTGGGTGGACAGAGTAGACTGGAACTAGAAGACCGGAGTGGTCTGGGAGGTAGATCCACTGACAACAGATCTGTTATGGATTGAGGTGCTGATCTATTCAGAAAATCACAGCGGGGGACGCTCTAGTTTACTTTTGCACCAGAATTGCCCAGAATGCAGCAGGTCTATGTTGTATGACCTGGATATTTCTATAAGATGTCAACAAATGGCTGCTATAAGAGTTTTTTCTATTGAAAGGGGTTTTCTTTCCATTGATTGGTTCCATCATGTTTTGGCAAACTCTGTTTGTCCCGCCTTTAAAGTCTGACCTTCAATCACTGCATGACTTCCCACTGCAAAAACGATCTAGAAATAAGTCAACATTTCTTAAATTAAGTGCATTTACCCTTAATTTGAGCAGGTAAATAAGAGGATTTGCAAATGTAATGAGTTTTTCTGAGCCAGGTTGGGAGAAAACAAAAAGCAACAAACGTTTGACCATTTTGCCACTATTGAAGCAAAGTTTGCAGAACTGAATGATCAAATAGACACAGTTGATACTGTTGGAATACAAAAAAAAGCAGATTTTCAGGTGAGCTGCAGTTGACTAGTGTTTTAAATGTTTTAATTTTCCACGATAAGAAACAATTTCATATATCTGAAGTTTCTCAGTCATCCAGGTCCTGGTCAAGCTTGAAAAAGTTCGTTCTAGGCAACTGGATGTGAAGTTTTCTAAAGGATGTTTTTCCTCTCCTCCAAGCGGCTTCTTCAGTCGTTTCTTGTTCTGCTGCTAATGATGACAGATCATCCTGAACAAGCAGGTCTGGTGATGAGGCTCACCTGCACTTCATTATTTCATCTGTTTCTGCGTACACCGGAAAAACCATCTTCAAATGAGCAAAAATGTCTTAAATAAAGTGTATCTACCCATAATTTCAGTAGGTGAATGAGATGATTTACCAATGGAGTGAGTATTTTACTCTTAAAATAAGATATTTAGATAAAATACACGTAAAATAAGAGAATGCAACTGTGTTTTCTTATTTTAAATGTAAATTTTCTCGTTCCATTGGCAAAATGTCTTCTTTACCTCCTCAATTCACTAATACATGCACTTATTTTAAGAAAAAAATACTTAATTAGATTTTTTTTTCCCAGTGTATAAATATTTTTTCTGTAAAGTCAATCTTTACAGACTTTTCTATTTTTTTTCCATCATTTTTGTCTGTTTGTCTTTCCAGCTGTTGTTCACCCTGACCTTCTGGCTGTTGGTGCGTCAGTCCGTGAAGGAGAACTTCAGGAGAAAGAGCAAACGGTCGACACCGCTACAGGAAGTCACCACCAAAGGTAACTGAATCTGGATTAAAGAGCTGTTGGTGATGATGTTTCTAACCAAAGGAGAGGCCCAGAAACCATATACTAGGAACCTGGTGGCTGCTTCCGTAATCTCAAACATCTTCAGGAGCTATGATTCATAGATGTGATCCTCCCCATCACAGTTTCTCCTTTTTGTCTGTGACGTCTCGCCTTTAGAACTGGGTGCGGGTGGAGAATCGGTGCTGAAGGTTCTGGGAGGCATGGTGATGAGCTGCTACGCCAAATACTGGATCTATGTTTGTGGGGGGATGTTCATCATGGTCTCCTTTGCTGGGAAACTGGTCGCATACAAGATTGTCTACATGTTGCTCTTCCTGCTCTGCCTCTGCCTCTACCAGGTAGGAAAGACTTCACTGCATGTTGGTTCTGTTGTTGAACGTTCTGCCTGAGCAGGTTCTGATCTGGACCATTAGACAGAAGCTTAAAGATGCTTTCAATTCAATCTAGCTTGTTTATTTGTATAGCGCCGATTCACAACACGTCATCTCAA